CACATGAAGACCAGGAGCCAGTCTCTGGGGGGTCATTCAGAGCCAGTACCACAGCACCAGTTGTGCACATATGACCTGTATGCAGAGGATTCTGGGTATTTGGAGTCATTTCTGATGAAACCAGCAGATCAATGTCTCCTGAGGATGAAGACTGACGAAGAGGAGGAGGAAGAACTGCAGCTGAAGATCTGCTGATCTCTGCAGAGTCCCCGATCCGACCCACCAGACCGACTCTTATCTGATTACTGTAATCTGATTATGGTGATCAAATTATCTGAGCCGATCGATACACAACCCACACATTAATCATTTAGAGGAGACCATTTCAAACTGCCTCCCCTGGACCCTCTTAGACCTTTATAGACCCTCTGAGACTTTTATAAACCATCTGAGACATTTATAAACCCTCTGAGACCTTTATAAACCATCTGAGACATTTATAAACCATCTAAGACCTTTATAAACCATCTGAGACATTTATAGACCCTCTGAGACCTTTATAAACCCTCTGAGACCTTTATAGACCCTCTGAGACTTTTATAGACCCTCTAAGACCTTTATAAACCCTCTGAGACCTTTATAAACCATCTGAGACTTTTATAGACCCTCTAAGACCTTTATAAACCCTCTGAGACCTTTATAAACCATCTGAGACTTTTATAGACCCTCTGAGACCTTTATAAACCCTCTGAGACCTTTATAAACCATCTGAGACTTTTATAGACCCTCTTAGACCTTTATAAACCCTCTAAGACCTTTATAAACCATCTGAGACCTTTTTAAATCATCTGAGACATTTATAAACCCTCTAAGACCTTTATAAACCATCTGAGACCTTTATAAACCCTCTAAGACCTTTATAAACCCTCTGAGACCTTTATAGACCCTCTTAGACCTATATAAACCCTCTAAGACCTTTATAAACCATCTGAGACATTTTTAAACCATCTGAGACCTTTATAAACCCTCTAAGACCTTTATAAACCATCTGAGACCTTTATAGACCCTCTTAGACCTTTATAAACCATCTGAGACCTTTCTAGACCCTCTAAGACCTTTATAGACCATCTGAGACCTTTATAGACCATCTGAGACATTTATAAACCCTCTAAGACCTTTATAAACCATCTGAGACCTTTATAAACCCTCTAAGACCTTTATAAACCATCTGAGACCTTTATAAACCCTCTAAGACCTTTATAAACCA